ATGGCCAATTAGGTACCCTTCTAGGAGGTGGTTATTGAAAGGTTTGCTACAATACTGAATAACTAAAAGAAGATCTACACTTCTAAGGCTAGGTGGCTTAATTAATTAAGGCCACTATGTCTAATTTCCAAATTTATTTCTTGTCAGTGTTCAAGGCCCCGGCAAGAGTAGTACAAAGAATTGAGAAAATAATTAGAAACTTTTATGAGACCCAGGAAGCATGAAAAGAGATAATCTCATGAGTTGGGGAGAGGTGTAAAGCTGAGAGGGGGTGGGCTTGGAATTGGGAAGGTGATAAAAAAGGCTTTGTTAGGTAAATGATTGTCGAGGTTTCCTAAGGAGGAGAAGGCATTATGGCATTTAGTTATTAAAAATATATAAAGGTTGTTGCTAGAAATTCTTCTTTGCATATCCCATGGAAAACTATTTTGACCATCTTACCAACCTTCATACAACATATAAGGTATGATGTTAATTCCGGTACCAAGGTGAAGTTTTGGGAAGACATTTGGTGGGGTAATTCTACCTTTCTTTAAGCCTTTCCTAGAACATACAACCTTTCTTTATCCAAAAATATTTCATACTTTCATTAAGCAAATGAACCTTGACGAATGGGTAGTACCAATACCTGGCCTACCATGTTTAACTGGCTTGTAAGTGATAGAGAACTCGGCAAGGTAATGACCAATCATTTCGGGCTTGATTTCGACCTGGTTGAAGGTCTTTCCATTATAAACCCTAATGATGCTTCCAATCATTTCTGGTATATGATCACGTTTCGAAGGTGAGTTCTTACTGGCTCTGGCTTCTCACCAGGTGGAGCCTCCCATTTCGCCTTACGTAGTTTCTTGATCAAAGCCATCGGCTTCCTCTTCAGGCCTCGTTGAAACCTTTTGCAAGCCCTGGCATGGAAGAGCTTCACAAGTCCATCAATAGACATGTCAAGCAAAGCATCCAAATCGACCCCTCGGAAGCTGAACTTCTTAAAAGTTCTCTTCTTTGGCTGCCATGGAGCAACATCTATTTCGGGATCCGCCTGCATGACTGAAGATGAAGAACCAAAAAAACCCTAAAACCCTAAAGTAGCAAGCAAATCCTCTCCCTCTATCACGGCTAAAACTTCAAATTTTAGCTATACAAGAGGTGAATCTATTTTCTAGGAGAGTAGACGAGAGAGTATGGACCCAAAATGTCAATGGTACCTTTTCTTGTTCTTTGTTTTTTAAAACATTCTACCAACCAATTGAAACAACCTTGTTCATGGTAAAAGAAATTCGGGGCAATCCTATCCCTCTCAAGGTGAAGGTTTTTTGTTAGGAAGCAGCCAATCAAGTTTTTAACACCTCTGATAGACTACAAAATGGAAAAGTTGGTGTTTTTCCCCTCATGTGTGTATCCCCTGCTTGGGGAGTGGGGAAAGTACCAACCATCTCCTCTTGCACAACATCTATGCCTCCCAGGTTTGGGAAAATTTATTTTCTTTCTTTGGATGTGATTGGGAGACACCACATGAAGTAAAGGAACTCTCAGCACCAATAGTATGAGACACATTACAAAGAGGCAAAGATTCTATAGCAATGTGTAAGAGAGGGTTTCTAAGTTAAGGGTCAACTGGAGGAAAAGTGGTATAATAGGAATTAATATGGAAGAAGGGGAAGTCCTCAATTTAGCAGAATTATGGGGGTGTGAGGCTAGGAGTTGGCCTTTAGATTACCTAGGTCTACCACTTGGAGGAAACCCTAGGTCAAATCGTTTTTGGAAGCTGGTGGTGGAGAGATTTGTAAAGAAATTAGCTTTGTGGAAAAGAAATTATATCTCTCTAGGAGGAAGAATAACTTTAATCAGAGCTACCTTGTCAAATCTCCCCATTTACTTCCTGTCCACTTTTCACACCCCAAGTAGAATTGTAGGGCAACTAGAGAAATATATGAGGGACTTCTTATGCGAGTTGGGAGAGGAAAAAAAGAATCATTTAGTTAAATGGGAACAAGTTTGCAAACCAAAGGAAAAAAGGTGGCTAAGGTTTAGGGAACCTAGCTCTTAGAAACACTACTTTGCTAGGTATGTGGTTGTGGAGGTTTCCTTTTGAAAGAGATAGGTTGTGGCACAAGGTCATTGAAAGCATTCACGGGGTGGAAGAAAACAGTTGGGATGCAAAGCTAGTCCCCCACACAACCTCAATTTCTCCTTGGAAAGCCATTCATGAGGTATACCCAACTTTCTTCAACTTAATTCGTTTTGATGTGGGAAAGGGTAACAAAATCCAATTCTGGGAAGACCTTTGGATAGGGGAAACATCACTTAAAACACAATTTCCTGAACTTTTCTCCCTCTCTAATCTCAAAGGAAAATTTGTTTCCAGAATGGGAACCTTCTCCCCTCAAGGTTTAAATTGGGAATTAGGCCTCAAAAAGGGACTAAGGGAGAACGTATGTGATTTTCTTTTTTTTTTTTTGATGAATAATGAATGTGATTTTCTTATCCACCTACTTGGACTCTTAGAGGCTGCTTTTTTGGGTGAAAACCTTGAGGACTCTAGAATTTGGTCAGCATCTTCCGATGGTTTGTTCACTTGCTCTTCTTTTATCAAAATCCTTACCTTCCCACTTATGTAGGGGTAGACTTCCTGGTGAAAGAGATTTGTAAGCTTATTCCACATAAAATCCAAGCTTTCTGTTGGGAAGTTTTCCTAGGAAAGATTAATAGTTGTGATATGCTGCAGAAAATAAGGCCTAATACCTACCTCTCCCCTCATATGTGTTTTCTATGCAGGGATAGTGGCAAAACTCTCTCCCGTTTATTAATCTCCTGACCTTCTGTGCTTTGCATTTGGGAGTTTTCTGTTTTCTCTTTGGTTGCAGGTGGAAAGTTACAATGGAAGCAGTAGTTAGGGTGGTTTGGGAAGAAAGGAATGGAAGAGTCTTCAATTGGAAAACTAGATCTTTGGAAGAGATTTTGGAAAGCATCAAAATAAAGGTTGCATACTAGGTAAAAAACCTTGGAAAGCTTTCATGTTTTCACTGTTACTGATATCTTTAGAGCTTGGAGCCTTGGACAGAGGTGGCACAATCATCGAGAGAAAATGAAAAGATAAGGCTGGATTTGAAACCTCCTGAAGGCAATAAAGGAAGCTGAATTTTTTTTTATCAGCAAAGCAAAGGTGAACTTTGATTGTAGCTCCTTTGAAAATCCGGGTATGGCTGGAGTAGGTGGTGTGACCAGGAATTCTGAAAGTAGAATACTGGCTCTCCATTCAGGACCCATAGTACTCTGGCAAACTCATTGAAAGCAGAACTTTTGGCCTTGCTACAACATCTTCGATTAGCAAAACAACTGGGATACAGACAGATGGAGGTGGAAGGAGATTCAAGGCTAATTGTTTCATGGGCTAGTGGTAGAAGACTCCGTGGACTCTTAGACATGCTTTTAGGGAAGTGGAAAGTATTGCTAAGGAAATGCTGAATTTAAATGGGTGGAAGGACTGCTAATAAAAAAAAATGATTTCAAAGGCATCACCATAACTGATCTGTTAAGATGATGGAAAGTAGTAGCTGATTTCCAAGTTGGAAGACCTGAAAGGTTGGTAGAATGAAGTGTACCACTAGTGGGAAAAATCAAATTTAATTTTTATGGGTGTTGTCTCAGTAATCCCGGAGTTTCAGGTATTGGGGGTGTGATAAGGAGTTGCAGACAAGATAACCGTAAGTAAATTGTAAAAGTTTGTAAAACCTAAGAATGTAAGAAATTTTAGCTTGAGCCTTTTTTTATAAGTAATTTTAGCTTGAGCCTTGAGAGGGTGAAAGAAAGAAATACCAAACTGATTTTGAAATGGTTGTGGTGTTTCTCCATGAAACCCAATTCCCTTTTTAAGCAGAGAATCTATACAAGCATTGCTTAAACAGAAGTAAATGGAATTGCAATGCATGGTGAGGCAAAAATGTGGCARATGAGCTTTCTAAATGTCCAGAAAATGAGTGTGGCAGAAATGTGTATGCTGAGATGGATGAGTGGAAAAACTAGAAAGGATAGGATCAGAAATGAAGTCATTCATAGGAACATAGGAGTAGCTCCAATAGGTGATGAAACGAGAGAAAGTAGACTAAGATGGTTTGGTCATGTGCATAGAAGACCTTCAACAGCACTCCTAAGAAGATGAATTACAAATTGAATAGTATAGAAAGGAGAAGGGGTAGACCAAAAAGAACATGGGTAGAAGTAGTACGAAACGTTTCAGTGCAATAATTTAACAATGATATGGCATTAAACAGAACAGACCGGCAAAACAGGACTCATGTAACCAACACCATATAGATGGGACAAGGCACAGATGATGATGATGATGAACTTTCTAAATGTTTAATAGTACATCATACGTCTGATACCTGGTGCTGGCAAGTATTTTTGACATATTGTATTCTGGTGTAGCATATTATTTATATGAATAAGTTGACATGGTCAGCAATCAAACAAAAATCCAGGCATAAGTACTCAAGACTCTTTAGGTTGCATTTGCAGCCTTCAGTTATTATGTAAAATGCCGTTTACGTTTCATACAAATTACCTCATTACCGGCCCAAAATCCAAAGAAATTCTTCGCTAGCTCAGAAAACTAATTCTAGTCTTTCAACAAGCATTATACAGGCACTCGCCGATGTAATCCAACCGTTTGATAAAATGACTAAGCATTTCTAAGGATATTAAGATAACCATTTTGGCCATAACTTTGTTCCAGAAATGAGTATTTACCGTCCCATCCAATCAACTCTATGAAAACGGTTACTTCAATCTGCACGGTATGCAGTCTACCAAAACAATATGATGAAGAATGAGACCTCGCGTGCAAAGAATATAAGAAAACAGAATCACCAACATGAAAAGGAACCTTCCCGCCTCGCAGATGAACGTAATTCAGTAACATTGTGGAAGTAAAGACTATGTTTCTCAAACAATCTATCATCATAAACTTGAACAAAGCCATTGTACGAGAGAGAGAGAGAGACCTTATCTGCAGTAACGGGAGGTCTCCTGGTGTCGCCCATCTGGAAGGCAGAGGACATGCGAATGGAAGACAGGCAGATATTTCTTTGAAATTTCAACCACCTACTTCGGTCGGAGAGTCTCCCTCCGGCAGGAATCCAAAGACGGCCGGAGAATTCTCTGGAAGATATTAATGGAGACGGGGGAAGGTCTCGAAGGTTAAGTGAAGAAAAGATCCGACGGAAGAGCATCGAAGATGACAACGATCTCTTAAGGCTTAAACCCACCTTCCCCATCTTCGTGTGTTGCCATATCTTCTTGCTCTAATATATCTGGGCATTTTTACAGTACCGAAAAGGTTCAGTACCCAAATGATTCATCAAACAAAATTATTGGTTGATCATTATTTTATCAGGCACCATACCTGCCTTAAACTTCCTTTGAAAAAAAATATATCTTTAGGTACTGAATGGAGTTGATCGTTATTAGTTTATCATTAGTTTATCAGGCACCATACCTCTGCTTAACTTTTGTAACTTGTGAATGGGATTGAGCACGGTTTTGTCATCGTAATTGAGCCAGTGCAGTTGTGACATGGTTATGTATAAGCATTGCACTGTATGGTTGGTTGCGTGTAGGTGCGGAGTGACGTGGTCAGTCCCCAAATTTTTTAAAAATCTAAAGAAGGTTAGCCGCCAAATATTTTAAAATTTTCATCAAAAACAACCTCTAAATTTTCTGAAAGTTTCAACAAAGAATGACCCCCAAATTTTCTGAAAATTTAAACAAAATTATTAGGACTAATCATGGTTCGGGCCGGGCTTAGCACCAATGATGAGGGGCTTTAAGCTAGGCCTAGGCCTAGATTATAAGCCCAAGCCCGGCCCTACACGAGTCCGAACCGGGCTTATGGGCTTTCCGGGACTAATGAGTAAAACTTTAAGTCCATGTAATCAAATAATAAAATTTAATTTATTTAAAATTTTAAACTAAGTAATATGTAAATGTAATATATATAAAAAAAAATTACAAGTCGAAGTTAAATTGGATTTAGCTAGGCTTTAGGCCTATGGCACAAAAAACAAGGCATGAGGTTCATTTAATTGTTAGATTTGAATTGGCTTAGGCTATTTATACTTCTATAAAGGAAGGCAAGGCATTCATTCTCATTCGTGAGCAATGCGGGACTTAGAACAACATTAAATAATTAGTATAATCATTGAGTGTTTTTTCAACTCCTACATTGCTTACGGATTGAGAATGAAAGCTTTGCTTAGGAGGACATTTCTCATACTTGAATTGACTCAGTTGTTGTCATATGCATTAATACATTTTAATTCATAAATATTTATTTATATGTTAAAATAAAATGTAAAACTTTTTGTATTTAATATAAAATAATAAACATATGTATATGCGGGCCTTGGGCTTAAGTATTAATTAAGCCCAAGCCCGTCCCTATATTTTTCTAGGCTCGATGTGGGCCTTGGCCTGGGCCAAGCTATACACAAAAATCTAGGCCCAAGCCTAAAAATTTGTGGGTTGGGCCAGTCCGGGCCAAGAATAATCAGCCCTAAAGAATATCCCCCTGTATTAGTGGGGTGGTGTTAAATAGTATTGGGCGATGAAAATTTGTTGGAGGGAGATTCAAAATTTCAAGAATCTCTCTCCTCCCTCCCTTGTATTTTGAGTTTTGTCTTTTCCTCTTCCCTCTCTTGGCGACCGATATGCGATCACCCAACTGTACTGTAGGGGGCAAATGTGGTTTTAAGGAGAGTGACCAAATGACACGACTCAACCCTCCTCTCTGCAAATTCTTAGTTTCACTGTTCTACAACACTACGCTATTGCAAGTTCCCGATTTGGAAAGCGATTACCGATAAGTTTCATTATGCCTTCTTTACTATTTTCCAACAATCTTAAAACCGCATTTATGGAACCTATACTAACCCTTTCATGAGGAATTAGATACTGTCAACAGTTCCCGATTTCTCTAAAATTGAACCTTTCAATGGAACCAATTACAAGCGTTAGACACAATGCCTTTTGTTTGCCTTATAATAATTAGGGGTAGCATTTGCTTTGACTGAACCGAACCCATTAAACATGGAGGAACCAGCCCATTCTGCTGTTGCAAAACACTAGACTACGATTAACCACCTTTGCACAAACCATATCCTCAACTGCCTGTCCAATGAACTATACAATGTCTACTCCTCCTACAACTTTGCCTATGAAATATGGAATGCTTTGGATAACAAGTATGCTCTGGAAAATGCTGGAAATAAAATATATATATATATATATATATATGTGTGTGTGTGTGTGTGTGTGTGTGTGTGATTGCCAATTTTCTGTATTTTTACAATAAAAAAAGACATGGACGTGTTTGCCCAAATATATGAGTTTCAAGTTCTTGTGGGGGAACTAACAAAGGAAGGCATGATACTGCCAAATGAGTTCATTGTCGGTTCTCTCATAAAGAAATTGCCACATACATGGAATGATTTCAAGACTAATATGAAGCATAAAAGGAAGGACACTACATTGGATCAAGTAGTGGTCCGAATTAAAATAGAATAGAAAGAATAGAAAGAAAGATGAGGATCAGATTCCCAAAACCAATCTAGTTGAACAAACGACTACAATTTTTATAATAAAAGAAGACATGGACGTGTTTGCCCAAATAGATGAGTTTCATGTGCTTGTGGGGGAACTAGCAAAGGAAGGCATGATACTGCCAGATGAATTCATTGTCGGTTCTCTCATAAAGAAATTGCCACATACATGGAATGATTTCAAGACTAATATGAAGCATAAAAGGAAAGACACTACCTTGGATCAAGTAGTGGTCTGAATTAAAATAGAATAGAAAGAATAGAAAGAAAGATGAGGATCAGATTCCCAAAACCAATCTAGTTGAACAAACGACTACAATTTTTATAATAAAAGAAGACATGGACGTGTTTGCCCAAATAGATGAGTTTCAGGTGCTTGTGGGGGAACTAGCAAAGGAAGGTATGATACTGCCAGATGAATTCATTGTCGGTTCTCTCATAAAGGAATTGCCACATACATGGAATGATTTCAAGACTAATATGAAGCATAAAAGGAAGGACATTACCATGGATCAAGTAGTGGTCCGAATTAAAATAGAATAGAAGAATAGAAAGAAATACGAGGATCAGATTCCCAAAACCAATCTAGTTGAACAAACGACTGCAAAATTCAAAAAGAATCTAAATGTAAAGAATAATAAGAAATTCAAAAAGCAACAATAGAAAGGAAATTGCTATGTATGTGGCAAATCCGGGTATTACAAGAAAAATTGCCAATATTAAAAGAATAAAGACTTTGGGAAACCAAAAGTCAATTTAACTGAAGATGTTATTGCAGTCATGGTAACTAAGGCAAACTTAGTTAATAAGTCGAAAGAGTGGGTATTGGTGTTAGACAGTGTTTGCTCTTAGCTCCAATTAGATTGATGTATATTTGACATTTTTTGTAAATGAATAAAAGTACATAATTGATTCATGTTATATCTGATATGTTTCTGGGTAATTACCCTTAAACTAGACACTTATGAGACTCGTGTTAGTTTATAATGTTTACAACCATTGGATAGACCTAGGGAGGTTTATCTTGCCAAGGCTGACACTAATATGCTGCCAAGTCGGTTGGGGCACCTTGTCTCAACTGCCAGGGTTAGACTCGAAGCACATGTACTGTGGGTTACTTGAAACTCTGAACCAGACCATTTTCCAGTTATGCCCTGGACCTTGGAGATAGATGTGCAAAACTGAAAAGTTACACCTAACCCATGGACTTAATTATGGTACTGCACTAGGTGTTGGATTGGGTTGTCTTTGATATGCCAATCAATGAGATCCTTAGCGGGGTCAAAACCTGAGTATATTGGGGCAGTCTGAGAATTCACCTGAATCGAATCATTTTCTAGTTATGCCCTGGACCTTGGAGACAAATGTGCAAAACTGGAAAGTTTACACCTAACCCCTAGACTTGATTATGGTACTGCACTAGGTGTTGGATTGGGCTATCATTGATATGCCAATCAATGAGATTGTTAGTGGGGTCAAAACCTAAGTACGTTGGGGCAGTCTGAGAATTCACCTGAGTGGGTGATAATAGTGACAGAATCAGCCCCTTTGTCGAACAAAGTGATTGATCAGGAACAACACTCTCTCTGATGAAAACCTAAACTGTCGGCAGTTGATTTCAAACTTGTTTGTGATATGCTTTACAAAATACACACACACACACATATAGATCCATCTTGAGTAGAAAGTGCGACACTATACCTTGCAGTCGAGGGGGAGGTCCTCTCTTATCAGACAGTGTTTGATCATTATGGGTTGAGAGGTTAAGTGTAAGACCCTTTAGGGCTTATATACCTAATGGGCTAATCTCACTTAAGACCATAGTCCTTGGGCCTTCATAAGGTGGCTGAACTCAAGGACCATTTAATGTAAATCTTGGGCCTGTTAAGAGTGAAGGGATGACAGATCCATCATATGGATGGCCGAACCCTGTAGTAAGGTTGGGCGAAATTTCAAAAATTTCTCTCTCTCCCACGTGAGAATCACATTCCCTATTTTAGAAAACTGCATTTTCAACGATCAATCTTGAACCTAAACCAGACCAAATCTGAAACCAAAAGGGAGTGGAGGGTTATACCTGATACGAAGTAACAATAACCTCCAATGAAAGTGTTCACGCCCAAGGAAAGATCCAAAGACTGCTTCCACCGAAAATGACACGGTGCAAGATGAAGCAGAATCAATAGGATGGCTCTTCAGCAAGAACCTGATTCTTCAACAAGAATCTGATGGAGGGCTAGTGAGCACGACTTTTGATTACCTTTTCTGCCAAAAGGTAATAGAACTCTTCTTGATCGCTCTCACAAGTGGAGATTGAACTGGTATGGCGGTAGGAGTAGGAGAGAGCAACAACAGAAGACTGAAGCAGTCAAACAATATGTTATCCTCTCTCTTAAATCAATAGACTGATGCATGAATTGGAGGTTCACCCTACTTCTCTATTTATAGCCTTAAAGAGAGGTTGTCTTAATCATGTTAGGAGTTTCCTAATCCAAATCTTGTATTTGGATCTGGACTCTCTTTAAAAGATAAAGACAGTTTGAGACAGTCTGAGTGGGGGTCAAAACCTAGGTATGTTGGGACAGTCTGAGAATTCATCTGAGTGGGTGATCATAGTGACAGGATTAGCCCCTTTGTCGGACAAAGGTAATGATTGGGGATGCACTCTCTCTGATGGAAACCAAGACT